CACTGTAACTGTTATTCATGTTATACCTGTGTTAATCTATATAAGCTTGTTGTATGTTTATTTAATTCTCTTTGCTTTTGACTTTGACTGTTTTTAAATAACATTTTATAATGTGTTTCCGCTGCACTATTTCTTAATGCTCTTAATGTCTTTAATTTTTGTAACAGACTCCTGTGGGAGGATCCTCACCTGCTGAACTCTCTTCAGGTCCACAGAAACCCGGCTGATCTCGTCCTCCTCAGTCCTGGTTCTGCCTGCTATTCCCTTATATCTCCTTTTATTCAACAGTTTGAACACCAACTGTCGCAGGTGTGACTTCCGTGAAAGAGGAAGTCGGTACTTCCGCTCTGAGTTGCAGAGGAAATGGGGGGGAAGGGGGCGGAGTTTGAAGTGCTGCAGTAGTTTTCACTCAGGAGGAACTCTTAGACAGAGAAACGTATAATATGAGAGAGAGGTCTATGTCTTCAGCACTGACTACAGTACAGGTACTGCATAAAGCTTAGCAGACTCTTCACGCTAACGAAGGATCACTTCTAGGCAGGGTTGGGAGGGTTACTTTGTAAATGTAATCAGTTACTGAATACATGCTCTGAAAGTAATCAGAATACAGTTACAGTTACGTGTCTTAAAAAAGTAACGTGTTCAGGTTACTTTTAGAATACTTTTGGAATACTTTCTTTTTCCATAACAGATGGGTATGTTTTGGTGAACAGGAGACACTTGTTTTACTGTTTTAATGGCTTATCAAGAACTCTAACACAACATCTTGGTGTCATTCTGGACAGCTCTCTCTCATCTGCACCCACATCAAACACATCACCCGGACTGCATTCTTTGTACTGTCTTAAAACCTTTCCTTAGAATATGTTATGGATTGTAAGGTGTCCTTGGGTGCTTTGAAAGGCGCCCCTAAATAGAATGAATTATCATTATTATTTATTATTATTATCTGAAACGATGTAATAACTTTTCAAACTTGTTCCAGTCACTTGCCCCATGCATTCAGCAGCAGCAGGCCATTCATTTGATCCCGTTATGAATGTCATCATTTCGACAATAAAGACATGCTACATAAACGTTATCTTGCACATTTTATCTAACCATCTCTGTTTCTAACTTTCAATATAGTTTAAAAGAGATCTCTCTCTCATCTGCGTGCGGGGGCGGGGCCTCACAGACGCGCTGCATCTCTCTCTCGCTCACAGACATACTGCAGCGCTGTGCAGTGTGCACACAGCTCTGCCGGTAATGAATATTACATTTTGTGAGGAAACTTTTCCACCAATAATTCCAAAAAGTATTCCAAAATGTATTCACTTCAGGTTTACTAAAGTAACTGTAATCAGATTACTCGTTTTTAAAATGTAATGCCAGCTGAATACAGTTAGCCTACTTGATTTTTGTATTCTGATTACGTAACGCCGTTACATATATTCCGTTACAACCCAACCCTGCTTCTAGGCTACTGTCCCGCAGCTCCTGCCTCTCTGTTGGACTCTGTCGCAGCAGGGCTGCTGCTGTGGTGCGGACCGCATTAACCAGACTCTTCACAACGAAGGATCCATTCTTCTTCTTCAAGGAAGGGAAGGTTTCTCAGTACGCAGTCTACTGTCCCGCAGCTGCTGCCTCTCTGTTGGACTCCGGTACTGCACCTTACTCAAGAGACGTTGTAAAAAAAAAATGGTTGGGGGGCGAACGCAGTAACCACTCCGCCAATGCCACAGTCACCCCCGTCGTGCGGGCCGGATGAGAATGTCTGGCGGGCCGGATGTGGCCCGCGGGCCGCCAGTTGGTGGTCACTGCTCTAATGAAACACAGATCAGGGTGAATGGTCAGTGTGAGAGGGGGTGTAGTTCTGCTAGCTGTCCACTAGATGCTGCTAACTGACCCTCTAATGAAACAGATCAGGGTGAATGGTCAGTGTGAGAGGGGGTGTAGTTCTGCTAGCTGTCCACTAGATGCTGCTAACTGACCCTCTAAGCCACACAGGTCAGGGTGAATGGTCAGTGTGAGAGGGGGTGTAGTTCTGCTAGCTGTCCACTAGATGCTGCTAACTGACCCTCTAATGAAACACATATCAGGGTTAATGGTCAGTGTGAGAGGGGGTGTAGTTCTGCTAGCTGTCCACTAGATGCTGCTAACTGACCCTCTAATGAAACACAGATCAGGGTGAATGGTCAGTGTGAGAGGGGGTGTAGTTCTGCTAGCTGTCCACTAGATGCTGCTAACTGACCCTCTAATGAAACAGATCAGGGTGAATGGTCAGTGTGAGAGGGGGTGTAGTTCTGCTAGCTGTCCACTAGATGCTGCTAACTGACCCTCTAATGAAACACAGATCAGGGTTAATGGTCAGTGTGAGAGGGGGTGTAGTTCTGCTAGCTGTCCACTAGATGCTGCTAACTGACCCTCTAATGAAACACAGATCAGGGTGAATGGTCAGTGTGAGAGGGGGTGTAGTTCTGCTAGCTGTCCACTAGATGCTGCTAACTGACCCTCTAATGAAACACAGATCAGGGTGAATGGTCAGTGTGAGAGGGGGTGTAGTTCTGCTAGCTGTCCACTAGATGCTGCTAACTGACCCTCTAATGAAACACAGATCAGGGTGAATGGTCAGTGTGAGAGGGGGTGTAGTTCTGCTAGCTGTCCACTAGATGCTGCTAACTGACCCTCTAATGAAACACAGATCAGGGTGAATGGTCAGTGTGAGAGGGGGTGTAGTTCTGCTAGCTGTCCACTAGATGCTGCTAACTGATCCTCTAATGAAACACAGGTCAGGTCAGTGTTACCCCTCGATTCCACCGGGTCCTTGATACCACCGCAGCCGTAACGCAACGCAGACGGACCTGGTAGAATCTAGGGGTTAGATGACTCAAGAGTCCTCTCCTCTGTGTGTGTGTGTGTGTGTGTGTGTGTGTGTGTGTGTGTGTGTGTGTGTGTGTGTGCGTGCGATCCCAACAAAAAACAACAACACCGTGACATAGCTAAACAACTTTTATTTCATATTTAACAGAGAGATGCTGTTTGTTCCTGTGGTTACGCTCAGGGTGTGGTTACTTTAAAGAGTCCTTATGAGGTTCCGGAGACTTTCTTTAAAGAGTCCCTATGAGGGTCCGGAGACTTACAATCATGCAGTGAATCTACAAAACAGTTCTAAATTGAGACGAGATGTTGCATTAACCGCACGTTAAGTTTGACAATTTGAATGGTCTTAATTGGGTCATGAGTCATGAGTTTGCACAAATGCACTATTTTCACTTTAATTAATAAACTAGGGATTGATTTGAGTTTGCAGATTTTTTTCTTGTAGATTTTTCTGCATTTGGTACTTTTACATTAAATACTTTAATGACATTTTCCTCATCATACTTTACTACTTACACACGTGTCAATGCAGGATTGTTCATGCATTCTTCCAGCATGTTATTAGTGATTCATATTTTATGTTATCAATAATTTCCCTTGCTTTGATGTAAACAGGTACGTTAAGTTTCGACCCTGACTCATTTCCAGGGTCTTAATTGACTCATGAGTTGAGCACTTGTGAGAGAGAGCGACCTACTTTATTGCATTCTGATCTCAATGCATTTTTACATTAAGTTATAAACTTTATAATCAAAAGAAGTCTAAATGTTCCTCTGTGGCGTGGACAGACGTGTGTCCAGCAGAGAAGTGGGGTCAAACTCAATTTCTTCACGGGCCACATCAGCGTTAAGGTCAAAGGGCCATTTGTAACTTTAAGAATATATAAAAATACTAGTGCTGTCAAAATTATCGCGTTAACGGCGGTAATACATTTTTTGAATTAATTGCGTTAAAATATTTAACGCATTTAACGCATGTGCAGAATGGCCCGCCCCATACGTGCCACCAGTGGCAGCGCCAGGGTATGACCAGTGGCGTTTTCTCCCGGAGGCCAAAGGAAGCCAGACTTCCCCTGTTTTTTTCGGATTGTAGTTATAATTTAAATAAATAAATAAAAACACTTTGTTTTGTTTCGATAATTCTCCTTTCCTGTGTGTTGCTGCCGGCCCGTCGCTCCCCCATTCTCATTGAGTATTTTACAAAGAGTGAAACAGCGCCCCTCTAGATGTTATGGTGAAACAGTAGATTGCACTCACTGTTGCGAGAGGAGGCCAGCCGAATCTGGCTTCCCTTGGTGAAAAAAATTGAGGGATTGACCAATCAGATGAGGCCCACGTGATGCACCTGCCAACCTGTGATTGGTCAGGGCCATAAGGGAAGCCAGCCGCCTCTTGCTTCCCTTCAGAGGCGGCTGGCGATTTGATTGGACACTGCCATCCAATCAAATCACATCAACATCAGTTTTAATACTGTAACTGTCATCACCACCGTTAGAAATTATCAAGCAAATGAAGCATTATGGAGGGTGGAGATTTGGCGTACTTAATCAAACATAACTTTACTAAACTTCCGCTACAGCAGCAACTGAAAATTAAATCAGATGACAGGCCAATGCCCGCACTCGAGCTGTGTGTACACAGAGGAAAAAGGGAGAGAATCGGACGTTCAATGAGGATAATTATGTCCGCACGGAGTGGCTAACTGGAAGCGCTAAAGTTCAGCGTCTATTTTGCTGGCCATGTCTTCTTTTTGACAAGGATTCGTGCTCCCTGAACAATCCTTGGGCAACTTCAGGATTCATCGACCTGTCACGGGCAATTGAGAGGCACGGTAAATCCAAAAATCACATAGATTGTGTGATTGTCTGCATTAAATTAATAAGGAGAGAGTTTCAGCTGGAGAGTGCGTGCGGACCTTTCGGTTACATGTGTGTGTAAAATGATACCGGGCGCTGTAATCACTCATCTGGTTACGTTATTGACTCCGTCTGAAAAGCAGAAGTCAATAGGGCAAATAATTGAAAGCAAATATTCAACAATTACACCTATTGTATATTCTTTGCTCTTGTGGGATTTGAGTTTGACGCCCCCTGCTGGAAAAAGGTTGAACTTCACTTCTGAAAATAGAGATTTGAAGTATTCAGGGATGCAGAATGGCTTTAATTATTATTTTTTACAGAGTTTGGTGTTAACAGAGGATGAGGAGGAGGAAGAGTCGTCCAGGAACAGGACGTCTTCTACCTGCAGGACCCTCGGCTCTTCAGCAGCGATTTGAGGACGGAGTTCTGTTTCAAAGCTCGAAGGTTGGAAACGTCCTCTGAGATCACCGGGACATCTTCGCTGACGTTACGTTCGTCTTCATCGCCGTCAGACAGCGTGCAGAGGAGGGCGTCGTTCTCATACGTGGGGAAGTAATACCTGAGGAGAGAGGACTCTTTAAAGTGGAGACGCTACATACTGAGATACACCTGAACATCAGCAGGAGAGGACTTTTTAAAGTAGAGACACTACATACTGATATACACCTGAACATCAGCAGGAGAGGACTCTTTAAAGTAGAGACACTACATACTGATATACACCTGAACATCAGCAGGAGAGGACTCTTTAAAGTAGAGACACTACATACTGATATACACCTGAACATCAGCAGGAGAGGACTCTTTAAAGTAGAGACGCTACATACTGATATACACCTGAACATCAGCAGGAGAGGACTCTTTAAAGTAGAGACACTACATACTGATATACACCTGAACATCAGCAGGAGAGGACTCTTTAAAGTAGAGACACTACATACTGATATACACCTGAACATCAGCAGGAGAGGACTCTTTAAAGTAGAGACACTACATACTGATATACACCTGAACATCAGCAGGAGAGGACTCTTTAAAGTAGAGACACTACATACTGATATACACCTGAACATCAGCAGGAGAGGACTCTTTATAGTAGAGACACTACATATTGATATACACCTGAACATCAGCAGGAGAGGACTCTTTAAAGTAGAGACACTACATACTGATATACACCTGAACATCAGCAGGAGAGGACTCTTTAAAGTAGAGACGCTACATATTGATATACACCTGAACATCAGCAGGAGAGGACTCTCTAAAGTAGAGACACTACATACTGATATACACCTGAACATCAGCAGGAGAGGACTCTTTAAAGTAGAGACACTACATACTGATATACACCTGAACATCAGCAGGAGAGGACTCTTTAAAGTAGAGACACTACATACTGATATACACCTGAACATCAGCAGGAGAGGACTTTTAAAGTAGAGACACTACATACTGATATACACCTGAACATCAGCAGGAGAGGACTCTTTAAAGTAGAGACACTACATACTGATATACACCTGAACACCAGCAGGAGAGAACTCTTTAAAGTAGAGACACTACATACTGATATACACCTGAACATCAGCAGGAGAGGACTCTTTAAAGTAGAGACACTACATACTGATATACACCTGAACATCAGCAGGAGAGGACTCTTTAAAGTAGAGACGCTACATACTGATATACACCTGAACATCAGCAGGAGAGGACTCTTTAAAGTAGAGACGCTACATACTGATATACACCTGAACATCAGCAGGAGAGGACTCTTTAAAGTAGAGACGCTACATACTGATATACACCTGAACATCAGCAGGAGAGGACTCTTTAAAGTAGAGACGCTACATACTGATATACACCTGAACATCAGCAGGAGAGGACTCTTTAAAGTAGAGACACTACATACTGATATACACCTGAACATCAGCAGGAGAGGACTCTTTAAAGTAGAGACGCTACATACTGATATACACCTGAACATCAGCAGGAGAGGACTCTTTAAAGTAGAGACACTACATACTGATATACACCTGAACATCAGCAGGAGAGGACTCTTTAAAGTAGAGACACTACATACTGATATACACCTGAACATCAGCAGGAGAGGACTCTTTAAAGTAGAGACGCTACTCACTGAGGCTGGTTCCAGGTGGACTTGTGAGGAAGCTGCATCACATGTCCCGCCTCCTTCAGGTGACAAAGGACTTCCTGTCTGCAGCTGAACGTTTCCTGGCAGCCGTAGCAGCGGCTCTGATGGAGCTGACGGCGGAGGAAGTTCACCAGCTTCACCTGGTCGTAGAAACGCAGACCTGAACACACACACACACACACACACACACATTGGAAAACAATATTCATTTTAAGGGGGTGCACTTTGATTTCAATATTTATTTTGTTATGTGGTTTTACTCACTGAGCTCCGTCCTCAGCTTGTGGAGATCAAAGCCATGAGCCTCCTAGAGAAATGAAGAGGGGCACTAATTAAACAAGTTCGAAGATGTGTGTGTGTGTGTGTGTGTGTGTGTGTGTGTGTGTTACCTTCATGTGTGTGTAGATCTGCTCCATAGTTTCTGACTGATGATCGCAGAAGAGACAAACAGCTGAGACGGGATGAGACTGCCAGTCTGACCAATCACTGCGCAGCACAGAGAGACACAGGAAATCACTAAATTAACTTGTTTTGGGTTTTCTTTAATTTGTATCACTTTTTTAATGTTTGCAATGAGATCTAATCTAACGATGGATCCACTCACTCGTCTCCATCATCCACCATCTCACGGTCGTCTTCGCTCTGAACCTCCTCCCACGTTTTCCCCAGCTCCTGAGAGACGAAATGTATTTAAAGATTTTATAAAAATATATCTAGTGCTGAAACAACATTAGCCACCTTTAGCTTAGCGGTGGTGACGTGAAGTCATGTGACCATGCTGTCGTTCCTTTATAGCCCAACATTAGCCACCTTTATCTTAGCAGTGGTGACATGAAGTCATGTGACCGTGCTGTAGTTCCTTTATAGCCCAACATTAGCCTCCTTTAGTTTAGCGGTGGTGACGTGAAGTCATGTGACCGTGCTGTAGTTCCTTTATAGCC